CGAGAGCACGCTTGCGAGCAGTGCGGGCGCGATTGCGCGCCTCGACAACTCTAAGGTGCGCGCGCGCAGCCTCCTCCTCCGCTAGAGTGAGCTCGTCTTCGAGCTCCTCTGATTTCTTGACTAACTCGGAGCGCAACCTGGCCAACCGCTCGAACTCCTTGAAAGTCACCCGAAGATCGCATGGCTTGTGGTCGTCGTTGCAGCCCTTACAGCGACCGGAACGAATGTCGACCAAGCACTTGAGGTTTTGACGCCGACAACGAGAACACGGGACTGGCATCGTGTTACAGAATCGACCGATGGACGCTTGAAATTCGTCAGACCGATCTTTTGCGGATGTTGGTTTGCGGGGCATGACGAGTCAACATGGAGGAATGAGAACGCAAGAACCAACTTACTTCTCGATGGAACTTCGAAGATAGAAGAGGGGAGTAGTGTTACGATCCCGTGACACGGCACGGCCAGGAAGGGGAGGAAGTACAGAATGGACGAACGACACTTAGTCAAGACAGGTCAACAACATGCAACCATAACCCTAATATCACGTGACCAGGAAAGATACGCGACGAGGTACGGATGCGCGACATCCACGACGTCGCGTATGTGGTGCGACAACCACGACGTCGCACAACCACAACGGCATCGCACATATCGCACAAGAAGTGCATTCCCTTTGTATCTAACTTACATATATAGGTAGTACGAACGGACCCTATGTCTGTTCGTGTTGAACTCATGTTACCAACTTAACCATTAGAATCAAAGCCCCTTTCAGATATCCTGTTGCACTACTTATTCTCAAGAACCCCCTCGAGTAAACCGCCCTCTAGCAGTTGACCCGTAACACGGCCCCTCTAAGTTACTAGCAAATCTAAATACTCTTCTTTTCTAGTCTATTATAGGCTAGTTCTATTCGAGCTATAGGAACCTAAGTATAATATTATAAGTAGCTATACTTAAGATATCGAAGCTCTAGCCTATTTAGTACTAGTTAAAATAGATAGATACGGGTACCGTTTCCTAGTTTACTCTTAGTAGGTTAGATCTATCTACCGTAATAAGCTTATATCCTTATTATTTAGCTCGGGTAGCGATCCCTTACTATTGTATATATCTTTCTAATATAAAGCTACTACTCGCTCCGCTATCTATAAGTACTATAGTCTTATAACCGTTAACGGTAATTAGGGTAATAAAGATTCCTTTCTTTAGTTAAGCCGTATTGTTACGGTACCGTCCAAGGAGGACGAAGGGTCGTCGACCTCGTCACCGCCGGCTGCACTTGCCCGCAACTACGACTGTCCAAGGCGACTTGGACAGTCGTAGCTGCTGTAACCGGCGGAGTCAGACACGACATGTTATTTCGAAGTGCACAGTAGTTAGTTATTCAATCAACCTTTTCACAGAATACGTCTTGACCATGCAACATTGGTAGCTGAGACAGATTCACTGAAATCGTTGACACAACCCGAAATTTTCGCCATTTCGAAAAATTTTCAGTGAATACGACCGTACACCTCCGTGGAGACAAAAACCGCAGTCGAAAAGACGTGGCAATTCGTACTGTGATTCATACGAGCAGTCGCTCCAACGCCGCCGAGGCGGCATGACCAGTCACGAGCCCCCTTCGCCAACCCAGCTTCTGTTGGCGTATCAGCTTACGGCTTACCTTGAGAACTTCGACTTGCCGGCGGCGACGAGAAAGAGGGCGCCATACCTGCCAGACCTCGCCTTTCAGCTTGTGTCGTCGTACCCAGCACCAGACAAATACGTCCCTGCACAGCAGGAGAACGACCGCTTGGGAGAGTTCAACCCAGGCTATCCCCAAGACTGGGTGGTCGACCCTTCGATCGTGAACCGCACACTACGACGACTGGAAAGTTGAAAGACACAGTCGTGATCACCGAGAAGGTCGACCAGAGCCGAGAGCCGGTTTCGGAACCACCCTCACAAGAGGTGGACAAATTGCTGGGGACCGTCGCACAACCGAGAGCAAGACGAACGATCACTGAGACCCGCCACAGCCAGCAGGTCGGCATCAAGAAGCTGCGACACAGAAAGACGACTTCACGAGAGTTGAGCACGAAGAGCGCCGAACCGATCATCGAGAGCATTGAGACACCGACGGTGACTCTGCCTTCGACGACACCACGACCTCTACACACGTCAAACTTCGCGAGCGTCGAAGCACCCTCTACAGAACTCACGAGATCTACGACCTTCAGAACCAACTCGCTCCCGGCGAGTCTGGTAAGCCAGGAAGGCGTTACCACAGACAGGTCAAGCTCGGAAAGCGCACCTGCCTCCCCAAGGGCGACTGTGGCTGCCTTCGCGCCAGTCCGTCCTGCCTTCCACTTCGCATCACTCCCCCAGTCACGTCCTTTGTGGCAGAACAATCCTGTTCCTTTCGTTCCACCCTCAACAACAACCGTCCCTTGCCCACCAGTAATCCCTTCGAACACTACAGAGGCTACATCACACGTCGTTGAAGCACAGTCGTCTTACGGCCAAGCAACAGTCGCCATGCCAGAACAACGCCAGCAAGGCGAGTCGTCAAAGACTGACCCACAGCCAGCCGTCTTTTCACCGGCACAGATGCAGCAACTTATGTCGGCGATGGCGACCATGATGGACCAGAGGTTCAGGGAAAACGACGAAACCATAAACGCAAGGCTGAAGACCATTGCCGGCGACCTCTGCCAGACGGTCGACGAGCGAGCACGTGCGACGCTGGACGCTCAGTTGGAAGCGACCAGAGCAATAGCCGAGGCACAAGCCGCCCGGAAGGGCAAAGAGAAGGCGCAACCACCATACGTCGATGACACTCCGACTTTCGCGGCAGGAGTCGAGGCCAACTTAGCGAAGTCGAGAGAGGCCAGACTGAAAGCGGCCGGGGCGTTCGACGTGCGACATTCCAGTGCCCGTCGCTCACGTCGTGGTCGTGACCGCTCGTCCCGACACGGCAGGTCGAAATCAAAGAATCGTCGTCACGACTCAAGGAACACATACGCAAATTCCGACCCATCGAATTCCTCGTCGTCGGATGGTTCAAGTGTGAGTTCGACCTCATCAAGGGGCTACCGCCGTCACCACGACCGTGGGAGTCGGGTGGAGAAGTCGTACGGCAGACACCACTCCCACAAGCACCGCCAGAAGTTCGAACCAGACGTGGTGGGGTACTTCGACCCCAACTCGGATGAGACGACCACGTCTTCGAAAGGCAAGACCATATACCGCAGTGTCTACGAGTTCATCGACTCAGCAAGATACTACGGAAAGACCAACTCAAATACGAACACACGGCGACATCTTCCTAAGTGTTTTCAGGGCGAAGCCTCGACGTGGTTCACTTCGCTGTCGGACGAAGAGAAGGACGACCTGCGCGGCGGCGACGGCATCGAGCGATGGATCAAGGCGCTCACCGACCAATTTGGTGTTGACTACGCCCAAGCTTGGAAGAAGTTGAACGCACTGAAGTTTGGACTTTACGAACTTCACCAGGGCACTCCGAATATGGTGGGTGTCACTTTCGAAATCCAGATAGTTGTTCCCTTGCCGTCAGGACCAGGAGAATACAGGGAGGGAGCACTGTCGAGGGGTGCCGCGGCGATCATCGGAAGAATGACGGTTGCGGCAAAGATGGCCGAAACGGAGCGGAGCGAGATCGACATGACTGGAATTGCTGGGAATTGTAGATTGCAGGAGTGACGCGAGACAAGTTGTTAATATTTGTTTGAAGTGGATATTGAAATGGAAGTTGTTGAGTGATCGATGTGGATGTGTAGATTTATTCTCAAGTTCGTGGTTATTCAAGGCTCTCTTATATGTACAAGAAAGGCATGTTCATTGGTTTTCCTCGTCATATCTACTCCACTCCAGTTCCAACCATTCCACAATGCTTCACGCCCACGAGTGATTCTCGTGACTGTCCTTCACACGCGCTTAGCCGCATGACGTCTGACCGAGTGGGCTTGCGTGTGCGTGCAGGACAGTGGATACCCAGACGAAGGACAGTGTATGTATGATCCTTCACAAGCCTTTGCATATCAAAATAGACGATGGTGCGAAGATAATCACTGCCTTTGCTGCGGCACGCCAACGTCTGTTCCGCTCCGCATCACTAGACATGATGTACGTCGAGATATCTTCGTGGGCGCTTCACTCATCACTTGTGTTGGTCCCATGCTGATGAGGATGACGTACATATGCCTGTGCTGCTGAAGGCCGGTAATATTACGTCCGGTCCGTTTGTCCAGTCAATTTGAACACGTTTGATATCACATTGTCGATCGCTAGCCGTTGTTCCATACCCAAACTTGTTGGTTGCCCTCCGATCTGTGTTGGTGTTACAAACTATGGAAGGCAAACTCTAATTCATCGACCCGAGCGCATGCGCGCCTACCGGACCACCACGCGGCTGAGTAAAGCCCGAAGGACATGGCCGGGAAGCTTGGACCTACAATCACATCCACGAGCTAATGTCCTGTATGTTCCTGGCAGCTCTTCTTCGTGTTTCTTCAATAGGTGCTAACATTGGTCGATGATGAAAGTCCCTGGGGGACATGGGCTCACGATGTGTTGAATCCAAAGTTTCGCCACTGAGGACAGAGTCTTCCTGACCATGCGTAGACAGTGAAGTAGTGCCTAGCACATATAAGGCGAAACAATGCCGCCCAAGACTGAGAATATATTCCCTGCTCAGATCACCAACCATCTTACATCGGCGATTTTTCTACCTTTCCCACATCATATCATCATACACATCTTTCACTCACAAAGCAGCCATTCACTCGTTGCAATCCAAGACATCGCCCTGAATTCTCAAAATGCAATATTTGAGCCTCATTTTCATCTTGGCCACCACCGCCTGGGCCCAGGGCGGCGGCAGCAACGGCAGTCGTCCAGGAGGGGCTCAGAATGGGGAGTACAACATCCAATGGTACTCAACCACCTCGTGCACTCCTATATTCAATGCAGGGAGGTCGCTTGGGTGCTTCGGCTGGTATAACGGCCAGTGTTGCGAAAGACCAATGGGCTCAGACGTCCTCATAGCTGTTAAGGTTACTGCTGCAGTCCCGGGTGTTGTTGCTTTTCATGAGGTCACCAATCAGGGAGGATGTGGACAGTGTACAAGAACTGCACCGATCAACACCTGCCTACCCAATAATCCCTTCCAGACCGTGAGAGTCTACAGAATTCCTCAATGTCCGGTTGACTTGGTGGGATCGGGGGCGGGTGAGTTGCGGCGCGACACCGATACTGCAGACGGGAATTCCACCGAGCTAGTGGTCAGACAAGCCGCAAACCAGGACTCGACGGAGCCCCAGGCGGACTGTGGCGGAGTCAACGTCATCAATGTTGCTGGGCGTCGATATGCCGTCGATAATAGCAACAGAGCCGCAATGGTTGCAGACTTTCTGGAGGAAAAGGACGATTCCGTATTTTCAGCGAAATGGGAGCATATGGACGTCGGCGAAGACACGGAGTCTTATGATGTTTGATGACCACGTGCACGGGCATACATAGCACGGCAGAATTTGGTCACGGTAGGCCTTGCTTCCAATTATTCCGCCGACTGCTTTGCTTGTGCTTTCAGCTTACCACTTTCTCTAGATTCATAGGCCAGGGAGATTGTCATCTGGAAGGAGTCGAGGCTTTTGTTTACATGTGCGATGGTGTAGCTGCTGAATGTCATTCGTTTGTTCCTTACCAACCCGTTGTAGTCGCAAAATCATGTATGGACAATGGCATGGTTGCTATAAGTCAATAGTCACATGCCAGGTATGTTGCACCAAGGGGCGTCTGTCTTGAGAGCCGCTGCAGGGGAGGGGCAGTCTGCACCAGTGGTTACTGGCATTGGTCGCAATGCATACTTCCCGTAGCGGACATGTTTGAGCAATTGAGAGCTACTGTCAGTGTCGCAAGTCGATTTCTTTGTCGGGCCAAGATAGCGCAAGTTGTCACGAAAAGTACCCAGGTGCGGACATGACTAGGAATTTCCATGGCGATGTCTGTGGTCACATGTATGGGTTTCTTTTGGCCTCAGGCGTCAATTGTTTTATATTAGTCGGCCAGTTCACCATGCCGGTTATTGCTGCCCAGGCGCGTGCACCGGGTTTGTAAGGACTACCTGTAGACATACCACCTACGCTTTCGTTGTAAATTGGTACAAATTCTTCTCCATTGTGATGCACAACAATAAGAAGGATTACAGCTGCATTGTGACGGGACGAGGCAAGTGTGGCAGCAGCTACACGCTACAGAACAACGCTGCCTGGCTGCCAAGCGCGGCACAGTAGGCATCCAACACGCCGAAGGACATTGCATATATGTGGGCGCCAACGACATCGAAGACTCATTTTAGCAGGATCGCCTGACGAGTCCCAACATTTGCAGTTGATCTCCGATAGACATTGCCTTCAGCTCGTAGCCCTAGACCATTATCTCTTCGGGATAGCTCGGGGCGATCGCCAACATCGCCACATTTGCAAGGTTGTCAGTTACTCCCCGTTTCATAGGTATTCTACGGCTATGATCTTGTGACCACCGTCATCACTAACATCACATTAAAAAGGGCAGGTGATCATCTGCGCAATTTATTTATATTCAGTGCGGAGTCTACCGAGTTGGAAGATAAGAACTGCGCTCTCCGTGCATCTTTCACATCTTATTAAATCAGTATCACTATTGCACCACGGACAGACATCGCATCTTTCATTATGTCGGAGGACAATCCCACCCCTGCTCCTCATGCATATACATTGGATATGTTCCTCTGCAGCGATGAGGAGAGAGCTGTCAGGTGGCGCACGTATCAAGGGGCTGGTCGTGCCGCCGGCTTTACAGATGACCACGGTCTCAAGCGTTTCTTCCATTTCAATCCGTCAACGGAAGACCGTGGAATCTTCTATTTTCTTACTGGACAGGACGATGAGCTTCGAAAACTACCGCCATTTAGTATGTATATGTTCTCATGCTAGCAAACACCCCGATTTAACGTGAATATAGTGGAAGTAAAAAGTCACAATCTCAGGGAACTAGGTGTCACAGCAGGCGTCATGGGTCACATACGCTATCCAGGTCGTATTTGCTTCGTCTATTTGGATGAATCGGGTGACACTCGGTTCATCTTAGTCCCCTACGAGGAGGAGTTGGCTGTCTGGAAACATCTCGTGGATCGGGAGTTGTCTGCACTCGAAGGATACGAGATGCTTGATGTGGATCCTATTGTGTCACAGTGGGCCGCTAGAGGGAGAGACTAAATCTCGTGGGACTGACCATTGTATGCATTGTTCCAAACCTCTTCGATCACAAGACTAGGCGGAGGCTGCGCTTACGCTTTGGGTGGGAAATGGGAATGAACTGTAGCTTATTACATAGTACGATACAGAGCTACACGAGGAAGAGTACGCGAAACACGTTAGATAGGTTATAGATAGGCTAAGAAAGTACAAGTTATTTACTAAACTAACGCCAAGCACCAGGGCGTGGCCACCCCCAGGGCGTGGCCACCAATTTCAACATGAACCACCTTCAATATTGATTATCTCAACGAATACTTAATAAATTGCTCTGAAACTCAGATATGTTATATATCAATACTGGCTACTCTACTTTACATGTTCTAGAGTTATGGCCTAATGTACCACACTTGCTACACCTGCTAGCACGCTTTGAAGGCTTCGGCATCTGCTCTATTATTTGTGCTTCTACCTCCTCTTGCTCAACTATCTCTTGGATCTGAGAGGCTGACAGA